TTCAGGGGACAGAACAAACAGGAAGTTGGGATAACCCTCAAAACTTTCTGAAAACAAGTTTGTTTCAGAGAAAACAAGCTGCAAGTCCAAATGGCAAAGTATTTTACCACTTGAGGGAGCTGTAGCATAGCAAACTCACGGAGTCTTGTGACATGTGCATCATGCGAAACTCCAACCTGTTAAGAAACAAGACAAAACAACTTCCCCAAGACCTTTAAGAGATTCCACATTTTTAGGGTACCTGTTCGTCTAAATTTGGAAAAAAAAAACCCAACCTGTAAGTCCAAAGGTGCTGGGATGCCTTTGGGGAGGGAAAAGGTGCATCCATTATCCAGTCACTGTCTGGTACATTGCTCTTTCATTTGACATTTATTAAATTTGGAATTTGACCGCTTCTACCTGATTTAATGCTATTTGGCAAATGCTGCTGAGCAAATATTTGTTAAATTAACTGAATCGTACTCAGTCAGCACTGTTCTGCCATCTTCCTAGTTCCAAGAGGTAAGAAAACCAAGAAATTTTTTTTCTTAAGTTACAAAACAAATCGTGGATTTTTGTTATTATAGAGATGCAAGAACGAAAGTAGAAATGGTAGTATCACAACTCTGTGTAGTACAAAATAAACATCCTCATCCTTTCTACAACTACACAAAGCATTTCCATCCTGCTTCACTCTATCAATGCATGAGAGCATCTGTTTGAATTCCAAGTGTCTGTTGAAGGTGACAAGGTAGAGACTGACTCATATTTACAATGAGATTCTGTAATGCTGTGCTATGAGGTACTTTCTTGCCAAATCATTAGGAACTCTCACACTGACTGCATGGTATAAGGAGTCATTTATGTATACAAGAATAAATGATGGTGGTCAATAAAAATCTTCTAAGTCAGTTAGTTCCTAAAGAAAAAAAAGATCAGGGTACCTCAGGTTTAAAATATGGGTGTTCTGTAATAATACCAAGTTGAATCAGAACTTTGTTAAACAGTAAAATGACTAAGCAGGAAAAAACAAACAAAAAAACCCCAGCCTTAGACACTTGCTGCTAACTGCAAGGTCCTGGAAAAAACACTGCCTTCTCCAAAATCATTTAGGGTAAATGCCTGTCTCTGCTATATGCCTTGTCTGGCTCAAAGCCATAGTCTATATTGCCTTAGCACAGCTAACTCCTGCTGATAAACCAAGACAAATTCAGAATGCATCCAAGTAAGTGTGGATGAATGTCTGGGGAGGGTAGAGAAGGCTGAACACCAGTCCTCCCTCATCCCAACCTCAGATGTAGATGATTTTTTCTCCAAGGATTTCTGTGTAATCAGAAGAAAATCCAGACCACAGCCAAGATAAAGATCAGATGCAGCCAAGTACTCCTAATGACGTAATAAATTTTCTGCCAAAAACGTGGTTAATGCTGTAAGCGGAGATGGTGCATAGCACAGTCCTGGAAACACCAGATTTTTTGCTTTGGGCAGCCTAAATTCCATTTAAACAATGAAAACGATCAAATGATAATTCAGACTCTGAGCCCAAGAGGAAATCAAAGAATTCTCACAGCCAGCCTCCAGACTTAAAAACATTCCTTCATTCTATCTACAGTGGGAAAGTGAGTATCAAAGATGTCACCAAGAAATCATTTTCTGGGGCTTTTATTTCATTTGGCAAAAATCTGAGTTTTTCCAGACTCTCAGCAGGACTGCCTCCCACCCCTAAAAATTTCTGAATTCTAAAGAAATTTATCTTCAAAGAATATCCACATGAATAAAGCTAAGTTAATACAGTAATAACTGAGACAATACAACAGTACTGTCAGAAGCCAATGAGCACCAACACCTCACTGACCAAGAGAGTCACCTCTTGGTCAAAGATGCAGAAGCAGCAGAGAACACGAGCCCAGGATTATTGTAAAATCTTTCCCCAAAAATCTCTACTCCACTTGCAGAAGGCTACCACTGTATTGCCAGAAGGAAAATGCATCTTTTATTCTTTTGCACACAACAGAATAGAGCCACAGTAAGCAAGAAAAGGAAAATTAAGTAAGAATACTATATAAAACATAATTTTAAGAAATTTTCCAGGACAACATCTGGTGAAAGAGTTTATGCATAATGGAAAGCAGTCTGATAGAGCAATAGCTTTGTTCTGCATCTTTTACATCAGTGACTGCTTGAACTACAGTACTCTTAACTGATCTGGAGCTATACCATCTGTACTGGGTCTGGCTGAGCCGGAATTAGTTTTCCCCTATAGCAGCCCTCACAGGGCTGTGTTTTATGCTGGGAGCTGGCAGGGTGTTGATAGCACCCTGGTGTTGTGGCTACTGCTGAGCAGTGCTTACACAGCACCAAGGCTCTTTTCCGACATTACCCTCACAGTAGGACAGGGTGGGCAAGATCTTGGGAGGGGACACAGCCAGGACAGCTGACCCCAACTGACCAAAGGGATATTCCAGACCATATGACATCTGCTCAGTATAAAGCTGGGAGAAAGAAGGAAGTGAGGGAAGTGATAGAGCAACTTGGTGGATATCTGGTATTTAGCCAAGGTCAGACCACCACACCATCTCTACCCTGTGTTTTTCTCACTGGAACCATATTCGCCCACAGCTTTCTTCCCAAGAGAGAGAGTATGCAGGGGAGAGAGGGCAGAGTACGTTGCATTCGTGTGAAGAGGCACACAGTAGCCTCTTTTACAAGGCAGATTTTTAAGCAAGTTGCTTCTCCTAGAATCTCCATTTTTTAATTAAAATTCCTATTTCCTTTAAAAAATAATTAAAAAAAAAATAATCAATAAGCTGCATAATGAAGTTATCAAGCCTCCAGGATCAATCCTGAAGTAGAGCTGTCAGCACATTTTCCTAATAAGATCAAACAAACATGCATGGATTTAATGAGCTAGGAAAAGCTACTGCCCTTACCAGACTGCTTAGCCACTGGCTTTGTTTGACCTCAGCTCAGGAAAAAACTCAAAATATAAGAGCCACACCAGACAAATAACACCTCTGACTTGTCTCATAGCAAAAAGTAGCTGAGAAAAGTCTTTATGAATTGAACAGCTACAGCTGTTTCGAGTTCTAGGACCTCCAGCTGATGCTACAATGGACACCCACATCCCAGCAGATGTCACCTTGTTAAGTTTCTTTTAATAATTTCATTTACAATTAAACTAATTCTCACTAGAAGATACTTTTAGCTTTTCCTGTATCTTGTCTGCCTTACTCATGTGAATTCTTCTACTGCACTGACCAGTTATAGACAAACACCTTAAACCCTGAAAATATTACCAGTAATGCATTGTTCCACTGATTGGAAATCTCTATTTCTATTGATATAGTTAACCTTTTTAATAGAATACTTCTTAGAAGTTTAAAAAAATTACAAAATTTAGTTTTAACAAGTTGCAGATTGCAAGTATCAAGTGGAAGTCTTAGCTAATCTCTTCCACAATAGGACAGGCTATACAGATTCACAAGACATTCTAATACATTCTGATTCAATAGGGAAGTAATAAAATGTATATATAGTTCAGAGAGATTTGTCATTAAGAGTTTCATCTGGAATTATGTATAAACAACATGTGCTTCTATTTGCATTAAAATTTTTACCATTTCACACAAAGAACTGCTTGGAGATTACAGAAACCATGTAAGCATATGATTTTTCAGTATTAACTTACTTTATTCAAAATCATGGCTTTCAAGTTTGGGCACAAAGTCACACAATTTTTCCATGAGGCTGTTTTTTTTCAAATTTTTATGACTAAGCCTTATGAAAGCTGGCAGAGGAGTATCTTTTCTCTCAGTCACTTTCTACTACTTGCCAGCATGAGGTAGCAGCTGGAGCATCCAGCAGGCCAAAAGTCAGCCTTTTGACACACAGGGTACATTTTCAGAACATGAATTACTGTTCTGGCCACAAGTGACAAATACACACAAGAAAAGAATAGTGTTGAATGAAATTTAAGCAGATGACTCAGACATGAATTAATACTACATAATGATGGAGACACAGATCACGACATACGTATTTTGCACTAATTAAGCTGACCTGCTAGAGTGACGTTTATCAAGGGGTTCAGGCTTTTTGGGAGGCTGCACACAATTTTTCACAAATCATACAATAATAGAATTAAGAGTCTCTTGTAAACTAAAAAGCACAGCTTATCATCTTCACAAAAAAAACCCCAAGCTTGTTAGAAGCACATTTGGCATCTTCCCACCATGTCTCTGTCACAAAGAGTAAAGCTTAACCTGGGACAAGTAGAAAATGCCAATACCATTCCTACAACATCACCTATCTTTAGTACCCAATCAAAACTTGACTGTGTAAAATTATTTTATTTGCACTTTGTGAAACGATTGCTTAACTTCCTAACCATGTTTTTCCAACAGTAACAGATTTTAAACCAAAAATAATTTATTACTGTTACATTTGAAAGACGATATGAAGAATATTTCACTACCTTCCCACTCCAAGAGGATGCTATAAGCATTCTTCCTCACTCAAGAAACATCCCACAAGACATCTATATGATTTAAGCAGCTTAGTGTCATTTATTAACTAACTAATTCAGCAAACCAGTTGAATAATTTCAGCAAAGCTGCAACATCTTTCAAGGGGAAGCTGGTTTCTTCAACATACATTAACTGTATTGCCTTATATAGATAATACTAACAGTTCCAGCTCATGAGGTGTGCGCACTCACTCTCCCCACCAATGGCATCGCCTGGACTGCTCCCTCTACTCAATCTCTATGCACAAGAAGCATTCATAATGCTGTCGTCCAAACACTGGGAAATCATAATTCAAAATCCTCAATATGCTGAGCTTGGCTAATACACTATAATGCTTTTAGAAGTAAAAAACTAGGAGCTGTTCTGCGTTTCCTGTACAGATTGGAGTTTGTAGCATTCCCATTTTTTCCTCCACAGACAAAATTATTAGGCATTTACTGTTCTGAAAAAGAAAGATTACACTATCATGTACAACATGGTTCCAAGGACCAGCACTTTAAGAAATCAGATTTTTGAGCATTCGATTGTAACTGTAAAAGACTGACAATACTTCCCCTGTTCACCTATAATGATGTTACTTTTCATGTTCCTGCTTAGTATTAGAGCTTTCCTCCACTATTATCTAACTTCCTTTTGAATTTCTTCTTCATTTACCTAGGTAGAATTAATTGGGTGGGATTTTTTTTTAAACCTACTGAAGTTAAGAATTTGTTGTGAGCTACAGGTTTAAAACTGGCTTATAAGTGATAGATCTAAGCTGACATTCTTGCACATCCACTTATTTTCCAGTCTCCATAAATACTGTTTATATATCTTCTTGCAGAGGCACTGATTTGAAACCAGGACACCCTCAGTCTAAACAAAGCTTTCCTAAGGTGGACCTCATATCCTCCTATCCTTCTTTCAGTAATTTCTACATTGGCACAGAAGTTCAACAAAGCTGACTGGCTTGCAGATAGGAGCCTAAATCAACAAAAGTGAACTTAAGACATATCTATTCAAAGTACATTTGTTCACTTCATACTTTAGAAACAAAATATGTATGATTTTGGAGAGGAACAAGCAATTCTTTCTCTTGAATACACTTCCTTGACAAAAGAGCTTTAAAGATTATTCTTATTCAGATAGAGCTAGCAAAGACTTCAATTATAGCCCACTACAAGCAAAAGTAAATGTTCAATCTGCAGTATCTTTTTATGGCAAATTGTGCTGAAAAATCAATATAAAAATGGAATATGTAAGTAATAAAAACATGTTTTATGAACTTTTGTGAGTTCTTGATTGATAGTCAGATGAACAGAGACATTTTATTGCTTAAATGTTCAGTTTCTAGCTAAGCTTCGGCTCAATATTATTTCTATTTGTCACTCCACTGTCAGGAACATACTTACGCTAGATACCGCTTTATCATTTTTTTATAGGTTTTCCACTGAAAAACTATATATCTTTTTTCCATTTTAAAAAAAATTCTTTGTATGCACATAAGCACATATGTTTCTGACCCCTCTAAAGTGTATGATACAATTACTATTTATATTAGTCTGCTAGAATTCCTTCATCTAAAACATGAAAGTACACATCTAAACATTTGAGAGTCTTGAATAAGACACCTAACACACTGTTTGAAGTAAGATATGAAATACTTGAAACGGAAATGGATTTTTATATATATTATTAAAAACAATACTACATTGAAAATGTGAACTTCCCAATTCCTTTCTAGATTTATACCACTGTTTGTCTTACTTCAAGACACCAATATAATAAATACTTAACAAATTCCCGTAATACTACCATCACAGATACCCATCCTGCAGTTTTCAAGGTCATGCTCTTCTATGAGTGGGGATTACCGCTCCTTACGATATAAATCAGTTGGGTAATTACAACAGCTGGGAGAAGCAGCCCAGCCTATGTATTTGAAAGCTCTGACCTATGCATGATGTGAAAGCCAGCTGCAGGTGGCAGCTTGTCTGGAAGAGGTCAGGAGTCAGCCTCACCATGCCAGGAGCTGATCAACACCAGTACAGTAACCTTATCTCTGACATGGGCCCAAGAAACTAGGTAGAGATCAGCCTGCACTTGCTCCCATAAAATGGGTGGGCCAGTTCACATAGGAGCCATGCTCCAAAATGCCACTCAGAAATGTCATGGTGATCCAAGGAAATGATCACCTACTTTGCAACTTATTTAATTAGAGCAAATTATAATGATTTCTGAATATTGCTTAATAATCCTGCTTGCCCTGACTGTTTTGTGGAAGCTTACCAAGGACTACTGTGTTCATCAAAACAAAGCAGTTTTCTGTGAAAACTTACCAAAAATTACTGTGTTCGGCAAAAATAAAAGACATGTCTTTGGAAAGCAGGTTATGTTCTAACAAGTTTAGTCTTCATAATGGAGAGATAGCCATATACAGGCAGTAAAAATTCATAGACTGGTGCTTTTAGATAAGACAGAGGTGGTAAACCAGCGAGAACCACACTTGCTATTCAAGAAATTGGCTAAGAGATTCTGCACACGCTCCAAGGAAAAGTACAAGGTGAAAAAGACTGTGAGCCTTATTCCAAAAGACCCCCTAAGACAAGCACCAGCAGGCAACACGCAGGTGCAAAGATAACAAACTGCCGACACCAGCCTTTCGAACCTTACTTATGCATACGTGTATTTGTGTTATGTGATCCAATGGATACGTATATCCACACTCGATAAGCTTTTGGTAAAATGTGCTGGTGGTGTGCAAGTTTTGTGGAGAAACCCCCTTGTGCCCCAGCGTCGGAGTAAACATACCTGCTTTATAACTCTGACTTGTAGAGTCTGTTTCCACGAATCAACGGGAACACTAACTCCCTGGTTTTTCTCCAAATCCTTCATGAAAACCTCCTCAGGTCTGTTCCTCCTACATATCCTCTGACCCACCTAGCTTAAGAGCCACTGCTGTACTGCTTAGGGGCGAGATGTCGCTCCCCCTCAGACTCCTGGCACACCTCAGGCGAAGGAGAGGCGAGCCCGGACCTACCTACCGACAGCCCCCGACGCCTTAGGGAGCTGTGACCGCTGCACCATCCCCCTTTGGCCCCCGAGGCGGTTTGGGGGCCCCGCCGGCGCCATTTCGCGGCGCTGCGGTGAGCCCCCGCCCTACTCGCTCCCGCCGTCCCCCCGGAACTCACCCCCAACGCCAGGGCAAGGGGAGGCGACGCTGAGGAGGGGGGAGCTGCACGCCTCACTCTCGCTGCGCCTGGGTGAAAGACACGGCGCTTCTATCCTCCCCCCCGTACACCGGCAGCGGGGCCGGCGCCGTTACCTCCGCAGCGGGCCTCAACATGGCGCCTCCCT